TATTATATATATATATATATATATATATATATATATATATAGAATATATATAATTAGCAAGTAGTAATATATACATATATATTCTATGTACAATGAATTGTGACCATCAGCACGTAACAGGAATACTCTTTGCTTATTCAACATCCTTCTTTTCCAATACCTAAAAATAATATTAATTTTAATATGACTGTACGGTATGATAGTATAGTCAACAAATAGTAGAATAATGTATTAGATAAAAATATATATATAAAATCAGTAATAATAATTTAAATATCATGACCTGCGTCAGTCTTCTCCATTCTTCTTCAGTTAATGCATGCTTTATCTTTACTAAAATGCTTGGAGATATCTCTGGAGGTAATAGAGGTTTGGCATTCTGATTGATAGGTATATACTGTATCTGTAAAAGTTCTGCTACCGTTGGTCTAGCTTTAGGATTGTGCTGAAGGCATTTACGCATCACATCGATTAAAATAGGGGGTGGCTCAAATTTCTTATTAAACAAAAGAATAGACGTTGGAAAGGCAATCTTTGGGTTTGGATTCGTTATTGCATTGACCTTAGCCCATTGAGAACGTATGTGATGAAATGGAGTTTGTCCATATACAAGACCGTATAAAATACATCCCAAAGACCACACATCTGATTTGTAACTAATCTATACGATAAAATAGAATAATGCATTATTAAAAGATTCATGTTACATAAAACACTTCTATTATAAACTATTATTTTCTCAATACAAATGCATAATACCAACTTTATATTTAACATTGTGATTAGGAGAATCTCCATTTTCTCCTATATCCATTAAAGCTTCTGGACTAATATAATTTAAAGTACCGATTGGACAACTTTTCACAACAGATGTCATATCCGCATTTATGCTAGAAGCAATACCAAAGTCTATTAATTTCAAACGACCGCACACCAATAAAAAATTAGCTGGTTTTAAATCTGAATGTATGACTCCTGAAAAAAAAACTTTGTCATTATTTCTTTATTCTCAAATACATAATTTATATATATCATTTAATATTAGATTTGATAAGAGATCAAATTTTATCTACCGTGGTCATGTATATGTTTAACAGCCGTCAACATTTCCGTCCAATAGTAAAGAATCATTGTTAATGGAAGTTGTTTTTCTTGTGATGTAAGTTTTAATAAACGACTAAGATCTGTATCGCCCATCTCCATTACTACATAGACCAAAGGATTTTTAATCTCACTAGAAAAATATAATTCATTTTATCATATACAATATTTTTATGTCTTTCATATGAATGATCATATTGAAAATTTAATCTTACTAATCAAACATCCTGACTATACAGGAAGCCTGCAGTTTATGTAGCATAGAAATTTCTTCTAAACATCCTTGGGCCGATTCTTTATCCATGCGGCTCAAATTGACGCATTTGATTGCTCGTAATTCAGATGACACCAAGTCTTGTACTCGTAAAACTTCTCCGCTCATACCGCGTCCTAAAGTACCCAGAATTAAATATTCTTTATTTTTCACCGTTATCTTCTTATATCTTTCCATGGAACAGGAGAAATTGGATGGTATTGAAAATTGCACATTAGATATTGTATCTGCAACTTGTTTTATATTCTCTTCTATTTTTTTTTCGTTGGAAACGACATTTTGTTCTTTTGAATTCATAAATTCTTCTTTAGAGGTGGATGTAGCATGTTTATCAGAAACAAATGCTATTTCTTTCAGACTATTTTTCTTTCTTCCATCATTTTGTCCAATTTCCGACTGTTCAGTTGAACTACTAACGAGTGACTGTATAAACTTGTTCTCTAGTTTCTTTGAGTTTTCTTTAATTATACAGTTTCTATCCGAATTGATCTCTCTATGTAGTGTGTCAGCTACATTGCTATCAACTTCAGCTTCTTCTACTCTCGACAGTTGTTTACTGTTTAACGTTCGAACTTTAGATTCTGTCGAGTAGATGGGCAAGTTATCAACAGGATTAGATTGATCTAAGCTCATAGTAATTCCTAAGGGTTGTCTTATACGTTTTTCTCGTTGATAAGGATACCTGAAAGAAAGGAGAAAGAAAATAGTAAGAATTAGCGTAACGTCATATTTATTCATTTAGATTGAATTTATTTTAATAACCTAGGCGTATCATCCTTCTTTCTTATTACTTGCATTAATATCGAATTGGCAGGAGTTGGCGTAGATAAAACAGATAAACCTCTACTTTGCAAAGGCACTTGTTTTGCATTATTCTGCATTAATGTGGAAAGGACTGTGTCGGAATGAACGGATGATCTAGTCGATGGAGTCTCGAAAGAAGAAGCATTTTCCAAGTGCTTCTCCTCGTTCATAGGAGATTTAGATCTAGATGTATTTATAACTGTAGGATTAATATTTCCCAATGTACTTTTGTCATCGACCAGTCTAGAGACCATATCGCAATTAGTATTTTTACCAACTTTATTTTCACTCTTATGATTAAATGTTTCTCTATAAATATCTTCTTCCACTATCGCATTTCCTTCTCTCTCTTCAGCATAGATATTTGCTGGAACATTTTCATCTATTTTAATATCTAATACATTTTTCTGATACAACTTTAATCTTAAATTAGCATCTTCTTCATCTTTCTTCATATCAAGAAATAAAAAATTTCCATGACTTGTCATATTCGATGAATCGTTGCTTTTGATATTCTCTGCATAAGTACTTCCCAAAGATATTGTTTCATGATTATTTTTCTGATTAATTTCTTTTTCCTGGTTATCGGTTCTATTAACATTACTACATAGAATAGTATTCATTTTCAATGATGAGCCAATACTACTAGTAGCTTGTAAATGTCCTTTGAAAGAAGAGTTGGACGGTGTACTGTTGTTACCCATGTATGCTTCTTTTGATTGATCATGGATATTTTCAGAGAGATATACAGATTCGGAGTAGAAATCATTGTGACATACATCTTGGGTTAAATCGTGGTCTGCTTCATTTTCTAAATTTATTGTTTTGTCTTCACTTTCTTCATCGTCGCTTTCGCAAAAATTCAATAAGGCTTTAACACGAACTGGCTGAAGCTTTGGACGTGTGTGCAATCCACCAGTACCAAAACTTGACCGAGCAGAGTGATCTTCCATTCTTGATAATTATTTAAATAATAATACTAAGAATTTACAATTTAAAAATATGCAAATTTGGAATAATAGGATAAAAATATAAATAGGATAAATAATATACTTGTCAACTACCGATTGATTTCACTTTAATAATAAAAGTATAATGTGCCTTTGTTCGTTTAAAAACACCATTATACGTGCACTTGACAATATTCTTCATGTAGCATCATAGAAACGTCAATTTTCTTTCAGTTTCCTTGATATAAGGGAAAAATGAAAATACGGCATGGATAAAATACATCAACGCGCGCGCGTATCAAAATCACGAATTAATTGAAATCGTAAGAAATGATTATATTAAATGATACATTGTTATTAATCCTTGTATTATCCATATTTTCAAATATAAACTGTTTCTCTTATTTTCTACCGGTTATATATTACGCCATCATTATTTAAATTCTCGGGACAAATTCTGATTGGTTGATATTATTAAGGCACGATACTTCTTCTACCATGTATACGAAACGCGTCCAATTCAGATTAATAACCTACAAATATATATGATCAAAACAAGAAATGTATTAAAAGATTGATCAAAATCGAATTATAATATTAGAATTGTATATTTTAATACATACATAAAAATGTCTATTCTATTCTATGTGGCACATCAACAGAGCACTTTTATTTTCAGATAGAGTTTTTCTATTATGTACAATTTTTTAATTGTAATCATAATATAAGATCAGTTCCATAAGGAAAAATGTAATAATTTGAATACATTTCTTGTATTATTTTTTTATATAATTTTATTCATTGTAAATAATATTATATCCTTAAGTATATAAATCATTATTAATTTTATTTCTTCTTCGATTTGATTTTGAAAAATTATTTTAAAATGATATTTTAATTAAACACAATTAAGTAATTAATACTTTTAAATAAGTTCAAACATATTCCCAATGTATCTTTTTTTATATACATGTTTTATAATAAATCAAACTAGTAAAGAGATTTGAAAAATATAAAATAAGATAAGTAAAATAAAATAAATAAATCAATCAATTTTTGTCTTACGGTCTCGAGAGACCAGACCTTGCAATTGGCTATGCTCAGCGTATAATTGCCTAAGTTACGTTTCTTGATCGAAAGATCTTCAGGGTATGGTGAGCACTCTTACGCCTAAAATAAGATAAGTACAACAATAAATGTCATTAGTTTGATATTCCTAACGGTAAACATCATCTGACTTTTCTCTATTAAACATTTTGAATGAATCACACGCACAAAAAAGTCTTTTCATTATGTTTCATTGTTTTATTTATTCGAAAATTAAATGACTAACAAATTCTTTTATGCATTTACTCGATGTGATATTGATGCCAACAATGCTCCTCCAGTAATGGTCAACTTTCGTAAGGTCATACGTAGGAACTACCTGGCAGCAGTCATAATTATACAATGGGACTCATACGAACAATTACATTCTATCCATATTTCTTATCTTCCTTCTTATAATCTAGCAATTATCCTAAGTATGTTTTATCCCTTTTCTTGCATATAAATATGATTTTGTATGTAAACGTAAATTGTTACTTGATAAATGAAATAAAAATGCCAATATTCTCCCTTCTCGTATCAATTGTATGATTGATAGATTTGTCTCATTCTCACTTGTTCTCTTTTTCTTTCTCTCATTCTCTCTCTCTCTTTCTCTCCCTCTCTTTTTTCTCTAGCTCTCTTTCAATACATAAATACTTCTTTATAGATAAACTTGGAAAGCTTTGGGAGGTTTCTGTATCGTACAATCCGAAAGATTAAGAAACAGCCTTTATCGCAACAAGTTGCACAGATGTATGAAGAGAGATATAAAAAATAATATTTTATTTAATCGCAGGGACAAAATTAGGAATTGCATTATGAATAATGAAAAATGATCTAAAGTATGTCAAAGTGTTTTTAGCGTTTCCCATTGTTGTAATTAATACCTCTTAATGGTGGCGCTTTGAAAGTTGATGCAGATTGTTGCTGCATTTGATATGCCAACGGATGAATTTTAAAGCCGTATAACCTGCAAATGCCATTTAAATGGGAAATCAGTTATATTATACTTTTTATACTCGATAAATAATTTCATTATTCTCATAAGAAAATAAAAATAAAAAAGTAAACGATAGAAATTACCTAGGTACAAATTGATTTGTTGCACGTTTTGGTCTGTATTCTGGATGAACCATAAACAGCATGTGTGGAAATCCTGTACCAAAATATGCTCCATCGGTATGATGGTGTCTAGAACTTTTAGGTGTATAAACATCCATACACTTTGGACAATAACTTTTAACCATCGCTTCTCCTGGAACGTCGCTCAGACCCAAAGGTAACATTGGTTGAGACTCACAATATACACGTGGACAATGACCAAAATCACCCGATTGATACTTCTCAATCATTTGAGCAATTCCTCGATTTGTTAGGATATAACGTGCATGAATGAGACCATAAAGCATTTCTGCAGCTTGTTCGATCAGATCTGATTGATTTGGATTTTCATCTAAATCGTCATCTACTATAAATAAAAAGCAGTTATCAGAACTAATGTACAATAATGTATTTCAGATGAATGCAAGGAACTTAGCACAACGGGTTCACCTACGAGGCTCGAGATCTAATATCATATCTAATGCTTGTCGGTAGTGCGGCACTTGTTCGTTCAACCCTGTTAAATTAAATTTGTCCTGGATGTAGTCTTCATCGACCTGAAACAATTCAATAAGTATACGTATGCCTATGTATACAAATATAGATTACAGGTTTGTACATACATACATTAATGACAATACAAAACATTAAACAATATAATTCTAAATAAGAGTAATACTATTAAAATGAAGAAAAATATATGGAAAAATAATTGAGATATGATAGATCATAGCAATGCGTATAGCAATGTTACATTATTCCCAAAGTTAGAAATATAAGTAAATATCCATTATTATCATTCCCAAGCGCATCAAGCGATGATTACTACGATGCTGATGATAATAAGAATATATTTAAATTTGGTTAAAGATTTATTATTGCTTTATTGACAGATTGCTGAAGAATAACTAATTGTGAAGGGAACAGAGCAGATAAATATTTGACTTACCTCACAGAAAAACTCATTGCCTCTGAGGCCACAAAACCACGAGATCCAAGATACCTCCTCGGAGCTGCTCATTTTTCTGCGGAGGAAAAAATAGAAGAAAACTATTCTTTATTAATTTAGTGAACCAAGAGTCTGCCGCCGCCACCACCGTCGCGTTAATTAAGTGTAGAGAGCGCGTGTGTAATGCGTGAATATGCGCGTGTGCGCGAGAGTCGCAAATCGTATCTTAACGAATACGTGTGCGTGCTATTCTTGTGTAGATTGCGTGCGCGCGTGCGTGCGCGCACGCGCGTACAAGAAGAGAGAGAGAGAGAGAAAGAGAAATAGAGAAGGTTGTATATACAATAGAACAGATGCACCAATACACGTGCATTGATATGAAGGAATAATTCCATGTATACGTACATATATATGTATGCAATATGTGTGCACGTGTATCATATGTAGACGTATGTACATAGGTATATACGTATGTGTATCACATTTGTGCTTAGTGGCCGTTTGGCAATTGGTTAGAAAGACGCGAATGGGTGCAGAGGGAGCAATGGAGTTTTGGCTTTTACTAAGCAAGATGCCCGACATTACGGCCTCTCCGCGGCTTCACCTACATTGGCGTGGTCATCGCTGCTTCGTCAACTGATTTTCAAGTACGACGTATGATCCGACACGACCAGGAAGCACATTACTCGAAAAAAGCCTTGTAGGACCGAACGGCCCAAAGTAAACCCAAAAATAAACAGCCCTTACGGCTTACCTTTTGGTGCTTTGATTAGCCACGCTTGCTCGTAGGAACGATGTAGATGGCGCTATTGTCCTTCCTAATTTCTTCCTTAATACCAACCTTACATTTAACATTGTCATTAGGAAGTATTCATTTCCCTTCTTATCCATCAGAGCTACTAGGACTAATATCATTTCTAGTATTAATTGGTGCAACTTTTTATAATACATATTATATCTGTATTTATATTAAAAACCAATATCAAAGTTCACACAATAATATGTTTATTTCTAAAAGTAGTATTCAAAACAAAGATATATCCAATAAAGCATAAAAATAAATTATATACACATAAAATATTTTTTTTTATTGTATAAATTATCATTCTATCAATGTTTAAATACTCACACACACAAAGAAATCTTATTCTATTTCTATAAAATTTTGTTTATTAGAAAAAGAAATTTAAGTACAACTAATAAATACTTCTTCAATATATTTACTCTATCCAATACACCTGTCAACTATACTTTTTAAATCTCAACATTCTGCAAAAGCATATTAGGAGAGATATAAAATATAATATTTCATTTATATCCAATAAAAAATTATTTATATAGAGTATGTCAAAGCTCTCTTAACGTCTTCCATTTGCCTTGTCTTTAAAAGCTTATAACAGTGTTGTGATGATTGACAAAGGCTGTTGCTACACCAAATATTCTAATGGATCAATTTGATAGCCATATAATCTGTAAATGGTACAAATTGTTGTAAAGTAAATGCAACATAAATTACAATATGAATGGTTTCTAGATAAATCTGCTACTTGTTGATAGTATGGCACTCGTTGACTGAAAACTTGTTAAATTAAATTTATTTCTAATGTTATCTTCATCAATCTGAAACAATTTATTTGACTATATGCATAACTTAATAAATATTTTAATTAAAAATACATACATTTGTTATTGTTAAATGTTAAATGTTAAATGTAAACAAATATCAATAATTCTTATACTTTAATTTCGAACATAGAAGGATGAACAGATACTTGACTTACCTGGTAAAAAAATTTATTTCTTTTAACAACACACAAGCACAATATAGAAGACATTTCTTCGAAACTGCTCATTTTTCTTCGGAGTAAAAGTATTTATTTATTTATCGGTTTCCTATAACCTTATTGTTATGGCCATTCGTATAGAATCTCATACTTGCATAAAGAGAATGCATGCGTAATTCATGCAAGCATAGATTCGCGCATGCATAGACTCACGCATGCGTAGTTCATGGAAATCCACACGTTTATGAATATGTATTATATAAATGAATACATTCGCAAAAACGATCATTGATATTACTTATTTTGAATATTATGCATTAATTTCTCAATAAAATGTAAATGATAATGAATAACATTATAATTGTTAAGTGTATATATGTATATACAAGTATGTATGAAAGTATGTGATTTTAGAGGTTAGATGTCTAACCTGAAAACTTTCGTTTTAATGTTAATTTAAACATTTTTACTTGAAAATATTATCAATATTAAAATCTTAAGATCTTTTACTTATTCATTTTAACTCGAATTGAATAAAGACATTTTTTATTTACTCTATCGTTAATTTTGAAACGTGATCTTAGTGATAAGTATTAAAGAATTTGTAATTTGATAATGTTACAATTACGTACGAGTAATTATAAACATTGGTCTTATGGGTAAAGCTAGGTAGATATTAGAATGAGTGATCAACTAGATATGTATGTCTCTTATCATACCAGTGTATTAATAAGAACATGTATTTTTACTTTTAAAAGATACTGCAAGCAATTATGGTAAATATAATTTTAGCATCGTTTACAATTAATTGCACATCATATTGTAAATATTTTTCTAGATGCATAGATGGTATTGGTTTGGAGAAGACCTGGGTGCATTCTTGTTTCCAGGGTACAATATTTCAACTGCTAGTAGTTTTATCTCTACTTGTATAGGTTTAATTAGTCTTGCAATATTGTACGAGGCTATGAAAATATCTCGGATTAAATTGGAACAAATAGCGATATTCAAATCAAAGTCCATTTCTAAATCTTCAGAGAATTCTTCTTTATTGTCTGAAATTTCGCCAAGATCATTTACTTCTTTTTCTTCTAGGAATTGGTATTACTTTGTACAATAATAATTCTTATAATAAATAATCCGTACACAGTAAATTTCTTTCTAATGAAAGAAAAATATAATTAAAAAATTGATTTTTAATATAATTTCAAGCTAACACTTAACATGATTATTTACCATCATTAGTGCAAGCTGCGGTGAATGGATATTACAAGTACTTCATTGGTCTATTCATACTATCCTTGGTTATATGCTTATGATGGCAGTTATGACATATAATGTATATATTAGTATTGTTCTTGTCATTGGAAGTTGTTTAGGATACTGGATATTTGGTCCAGTATTGATAGAATCAAATATAAGACGATTTCAAGAAAGACAAAAACTTATTAAGTGTGACAAGAATTGTACAGGTAACTTAATAATAGCTCTTGCTAAGCAATGAATCAAAATTTTTGTATTTGTGATTTTTGTAGATAATACTCATAATCAAGAAAGACGTGAATCTGCTGTTTCTGTCACCGCTGAACAATTAGTATTGGAAACAACAGTAGAGATTCATATGCCGTGAGATGCCTAAGAAAATGGGTTTTGTCTATACTTTTTATAATTCAAATCATAACAGATATTTGTGCCTACAATCGAATACAACGAAAAATTACAATAAAATAAATAAATAAATAAAATTATGGAAAGTAATAAAATGATAATTAATTACTTTTATATGGATATGATTTTCTTTTGTAATTTTAATAATTGTAACTTTTTAAAGAAATATTCTTTTATATTGTAAACTTGTAATTATATAATATGTCTGTTACATATGTAAATTTTGTTGTCCATGTATCTATTGTTACATATGGTGCTATTTAAGTGACAGATGTTTAAAATGAATGCTAATTATATACATTTTGTAAATGGTAATGTAGATAATTGTTATATTATGCATATTAATTTACAAATGAAAATAACATTTCGAAGATGATCACTTTTATAAAATACATTTTTCAAATATTTTGTATAATTTATATTTAGGATAATCTAAATATACATATTATCTAACCATGTGAATAATTTGTAACTTTATTAGAGAAATAAAAATGTGACTCGAATAAAACTTTTGTTATACAAATTTGTATTCAATGATATGTTTTTGCAACACAATGATCTGCTTTATCGAATTCATGATGAATAAAGAAAGGAATGAATAATAAGCACAGTAACAGTATGCGACTCTCAGTTTAGTGAGTGCATCTTGTCAAAACAGTCAGTAATATCATGGGAGCCAAGGTAAATAATTTATCCATTATACTTCATTAATTCTATTTAAATCTAATTAAAATTTGATCTCTTATTTAATAAACTATCATTAACATTTATATATTTATATTTACAGATGCACAAGTTTTACTTTATTATGATTTTATTGATTTTATGTAAGTAGATAAGCTATTAAAGTTGAATGCATCAAAAATTCATTGATACGTTATTTTCTTTCTAGTACCACTAACTCTTGGTCATTTTGGCTATAAAAAACGAGGTAAACTTTAGGTTTATAATAACGTTTATATTATAACGACTCTTTCTAAATTGATCATACAACACAGATCAACACACATGGGCACAACGATTCAAGTTATGCGCTGGAAAATTGCAGTCTCCTATAGCATTGTCATCTTCTAAATCTATCCCGCTTGCTTTACCTGCTTTGGAAATGATTGGATATCACGATTTGCTTCCATTTCCTGTTACAGTAGAAAATAATGGCCACTCTGGTAATTATATAAATACATAATAATTAAGTTGTCAAAAAATTTATAAATATTTTTTCTAGTTACTTTAAGTATTAACCATAGTATATCAAGAAACCAGTCAGAAATACCTTATATTTTTGGAGCTATATTGAAGAAAGGCCAAATTTATGAAATGGAAAGTTTACATTTTCATTGGGGTGCAAAAAATAATAAAGGATCTGAGCATACATTCAATAATATTAGGTACTAGATATAGTAAAGATTTTATTGGACTTGTTTCTTTACTTTACAATTATATTATTTATGAATATTATTGCAGATTCCCAATGGAAATGCATATAATTCACAGAAATGCAGCTTATTCTAATTTTTCTCATGCCCTGAATTATCATGATGGACTTAGTGTATTAGGAATATTTTTTCAAGTAAGGACAATTTATTGATAAAATTTTTTTATGACAAAAACGATTAAATTTAATCGTAAAACTGTCTTCAGTTACAGGAACAAGACAACGAAAATCTCAAACCCATATTGAATATCTTAAACGATGTAAAATGGGTGAACAAAAAAACACATATGAACGGTTCAATTACTCTGTCTTCTTTAATGCCAACAAATACAGATACTTTTTATACTTATAAGGGATCGTTGACGGTACCACCATGTAGCGAAACAGTAACATGGATTATTTTTTCAACACCAGTAAAAATTTCATATCAGCAGGTATATTTCTATGTTAATTTCTTATTTTTTCTTTCTTATTTTAAAAATAATAACATAAATAACTTGTCATTTAATATTATATTCCGTTAGATGAACAAATTTAGGATATTATCAAATGGAGAAGACAGACTTGCAGATAATTATAGACAATTACAAAATATTGAAATGAGAAAAGTATTTGTTAGACGGCTTGACCCGATTTCTATATTGAAGTACAATATATCCAACATTGACTTCACAAATTCTGATTTCTGGTTTTGGCATTAAGCAATGTTATTATTATTATTATTATTATTATTATTACAAGTGTAACTTGTAGCAATTAAAATAATTTATTAGCACTTATAAAATGTTAGCAAGACTTGTCGGCCGTTAATTGGCATACTTTTTCCAGTTGACTTAAAATTTCTGTTAAGTATTTTTCAACTTCCTGTAAACTTATCATTACTTTAGCATTTTCTGAATATACGTCTTTGACTTTTTTGACAATTCCTTGTAATATTAATTTAGCACTGCCTAGCAATGCTTTTTTCGACTTTATGTTATCTTCGCAATAAGACGAACAACGTAAATACGTTTGAGATAATTTACAACACAATTGTAAAACAGATAGAGTTGTATCCTCCTTTTGGTACCATTTGGGGTCTAAAACAGCAGCACGATATGCTTTTTGTAAATATTGTATAGCCTTCTGATCATCAACGTCCGTTTTTTTAAGCAGCGTTAGTTCAGAATATAATCTCCAAAGATCTGAATTATTAAATGTATTTTTAGATGTAATTCTGCCGAATAATTGAAGTGTCGGTACAAGTAACGAATTTCTACATAATTTGCCGTCGGCATCTTTAATGTCATTTACAATAGCATTCGTTAATATTTCTAAAATCTGAATATCTAAATGTTCGTTTTTTAAGTCTAAAATACGATTGTAACATCTTATTACCTGCAATGAACGAATTATTAATATTTAACTCTATATATGTTTTATACTATAATAAGACGAATAAAAATAATAATACTTCTAAAAATTGTCCCAAATCAATGGAAACGACCATCAAATTATCCCAAACTTCCCAACGATCGTGATTGCATTTGATCGCTTCGTGAAGAACTTTCCATGCTCTGTATTTATCACCTAATTTTATATATGCCTTCGCTAAATTGTTCCATGCCTCGAAATTCTGAAATTCATGTTAAAGAATAATATACACATAAAGGAAGTATAATCTAACATCGTCTAACTCTAAGTCACGTGTAAATGATGACATTGACAAACCATTTGTTCTAAAGCACAATATCGTCGATATGCCATTGCCGCTAATTTCCAATCCTCCATTTGTAATCCTGCAAAGCCAAGTCTAAACCATACATTCTCTTGAATATTATTTAATTCGACTGATAACTTTAAATGTGGTATAGCTTGGGCGTACTAAAAAATAGGTTTAATAAATAATTAGTTAGTAGAGCTAATTTTGTACAAATATAATAATTTAATTCGTACATACGTCTTTTTGTGCAAAATAAAAGAATCCCCAATGTTTTTGTACACGACTACTTTTCTCCTCTGATAATTTCCATGCTGTTTCATAATGCTTTACGTCACCAGTTGCATCTCCCAATAAACACCACAATTTAATAGATGCTTTTTTAGCAAGTTCTTGGCGTATAATTTCTGCAGCCTATATAAGAATTAAACTAGATTGTTATTAAAATCATTGAAAATATTTCATATAATATTATTTAAAAATATTATTTTACATATTATATTTGATGTGTGTATATAAATTAGGGAAAATCTTACTTTTTGTCTTAATTCCAAAATGTTATAACAATTTATAACATCTTCCCAAAGTTTCAACTTGATAAACAAGTCTAAAGCCCCTTTTACTAATCCGAGACTAAGCATGAGATTAGCTAACATTTTTTCCAACATCCACATAGGCTTCATTCCGCTGGCAAAAAATATGTCCAGTCTTTCTGTGACTGGGACATTACAATCATGAATTTCTTTTAATAAATATTCAGCTTGTAGCATCGATCGTTCTACTGTTCTTTTGTCATTAGCTTCATAAGTGCATCGACGACAAAGAGCTGTTATTTTTAGTGACCAATTTTTTGTATTATCGATTACTTTCTGTAAACAAATAAATTTTTCTTCTTATTATCTTACATATAACAACAATGAACTTTTAAAAAGATTACTTTATTATACTCACAATTACGTATGGAATAATTTCTTCATCAGTAAGTTTATCTCTTGGCTGAGACAATTGAAGCTGGGTACTACAGAACAAGGAAAATATCATTTCATTGAGACATATTCATTGTTATTAAAATCTGTTTACATAAAGAGAAAGGAAAAATCCTTACTGTCTCGCCAGAACAATAGCTTCTCCCAATACTCCTAATTTAGTTTCATCTTGAATTGTAGAAAATTGTATACGTTCTAGTCTTACTTCATCATTTAAATCTAAAGACTTTGGTAAATTTTTACAAGATCTTGTCTCTAATGCAACCTCTTTTTCTACATTGACTTTTAAAAATAATTGCGGTTTTTCTTCTTCTTGATATTTTGTTCGCTTACCCATAGCACCTTGCAATTTCATTTTGATTTGAGCAATTTCTTCACTTCGCGCTAAATATCTTTCTGAATATTCTATTCTTTTGTAGTAGAAATAAAATTGTGCAACTTCAAGATTAAACAAAACTTTACAGAAAGTAGATTGTAAAATATGTGAATTATCGATATCAGCAATTAACATTTGTGTTTCTTCAAATATCGTCCCTGAAGTTTCCTCTAATATAAACTGATGCAATAGATTGGTTCTAAATAACCACCACATGCAGCTTGCATATTTCTTTTGCATACATTTATTAAAGAATATTATTTTGGAAAGATAAAGAAACTCTGGTTTCTTAACGTTTTCGTTACATTCATCGTGCAAAGATAAATACTTGAGTGCTTCTTCTCTTTTAACTGATAATAATTCAATTCCTCCATCATCCGTAATCGGACCCGTCCAATTACATTTAATAAAATAGAACAAACTTGCTATACTTAAGCATAACCATTCATTCCTATCTGTTCTATTCATTTTTATATCCTTGTATATGATTTCTTGTAAATCATCATTATTATTAAGCGATTTAGATAATCTGGTAGTTACTATTTCAATAATTACATCCTCGTATTCTCCTTCTAATATTTTGTTCACGATAACTACGTCGCATGCTAAGAGAAAAATGATACATAGATTTTTGTATAATAGATAAATAAATATATATGATAAATATGTTATAGAATTCCTTTACCTTTGTCGATGACGTTTGTCAATAGTTGTATTTCTATTTTCTCATCTATCATTTCTTTTGGTTCCTCCATTATTCATTTATATATTTATCACTTATATATATTGTAATACTTGATGATCAACAATATTGGTTATGTTTAAAAGTCGCAGGACAAATGCACGTGGTGACAAAAAAAAATCATTACAAATTATTCAAAATAATTTAAATTAAAATAGAATTATACATGTCATTGAATTTCATGAAAAAGAAGCAAATGAAAGATAATATTCAATGTATCTTGGTTTATTTATTTATCGTCTTACTATATTATGATACGTAAAATTGAATATTTGGCGGGTTGATTGGTATCAGGGATGTCGATCTGTAATCGATTAATCGGAAAATCGATATTTTCAATTCATTGATCTATAGTAACATCTCTGTATATGAAAAGTGTCCGCCAAAATGTATTCAATTAGGGTGGCGCCACAGTAGCTACAGGGTAAATTTTAAAGGAAGCGCCAAATATTAATAGAGTAAGATTGAGAAATAAACAAGGAACACAAATTTTACCCATAACTGTTTTGTTATTCACATACTTTTTCATAAAATTAAATGATAAAA